TATTTTCATTACAGCATATATATAACTATTAGTTAGACATGTAAATTAAAAAAATAAACTGATAAAAAGGAGGCCTTACCATTTATATGTCATTTATTCAGAAGATAAACCTATACATAATATACACAAATATATTGATACATTCGTTATTAATAAACTATTCATTTTTAAGTATTTCTGGAATCCATTCATAACTATGAACTTAAATACTAAGCCATAGCATAAAATATATATTCCCATTAATCTGGTAATAGTTAAACTGCTGGCATATACAATTTTTCACGCACACTAGCATCAGGCAAATTGTCTTCTACACACTACAATATTAAGATGCCGCATTCATGGAGCTGTTACTTGTAGGGAGCGCGGTATCTAGTCAGAGCACGCGATGACTTATCATTAATCTATGAGCTAAGCACTCGCTGTAAATTTCAAAATGTGCTACGCAACAAGCACCCCGGGTACGTTTCCCACCGGCACTAATTTACCACGTGTCCGACGGTGATGGAAAACATCATGATTAAAACTGCATGTTGCAGAAATTAAATAAAATATTTTGAAGACATGAAGTTTGCCAACATCCATTGGGGCGGAGAATCAGAACAGAAAACCTCTCAGTAATGGCCTGGCCTAGTAGTAAAACGTATATTGAATGTAACTATACATTTTGCTTTTAACAGGTTTTTAACTGGTAGCATCTATCTTGTATATTATTATATTATGAAAATATATGTTCAAATTTGTTTCATTTTTATTCCTTTAGTTTACTATATTTAATAAAGTTTCTAATGCAATTAATGCTCCCCGTATGTGAGCTGATTTTATTTAAAAAAAAAGTTATTTGTGCGATGCCCTGTAGGGCACGTTACAGCCCAGTTGAGGCTGTTTAGGTGAGTGGTTGGTTCATTTAGCTAAATGATACATTAGACCAGAAATCCAGTTAAATGGAAAATTATGAGGTAGCTTTTGTTGAACTAACTAAAAACATGTAAATAAAAATTTGGTTGTCAAAATGCTGTCTTATTTATAGTCAAATATATGTTACTCAAGAAAGTAGCAAATGCTTATTTTACACCGCGTCGCATGTGATAGTTTCTACATCGCCTTTTTATCTAGGAGTATATCTGGGTTGGTACTACTCTCGTGCCAATTTCTGTCCAAAACGCGTGCGCATTTGAAATCACATTTGTGATAACAATTTATGGAAGAAACAGACTGAAGCCATGTACACAACTTATACGAAGCAACGCGCCCACGTCGGTGTGCACACTTGACCTACGTATGCAACGTACGTTTGGCGTCAGACACTCTTGTCACTTCTTAGCGGACGCACGAGTACAAACTTATAGTATGTTTTCTGATTCTGGGAGTGAGTTTGAAAATTATTTACTTAGTCTGATGTTCGTAAATGAACAAATCCACGTCATGAAGAAAAATAGAAAAGTTAAGAAGCGAAGATATTGGGTACAAGAAATAAATAAACCAAAAGAGGAATTTGGAGAATACCATACATTACTTAAGGAACTGCAAGATGACGACGAACGACTTATTCTGTACTTTTGTATAAAAAAAGTGCAATTTAAGGAGATTTATAAAATTATCGAAAGTGATATAAAAACAAAATACACATTTACGGAAGTCTATTGATAGCACAGACAGACTCCCAGTGTATGAAATTAAAAACTATTATCCAATAACATTTAAAGAAATTCTGTTTTTTGTCTCCTGAAAAACAAGGACGCATGGAATTCCATTTCTTAAATATATATACGAGTATACTTTAATGGTGCAGGGCAGGATTATGGTTCACGAATGTGTGCGCATGCTCATATGTACTTTTTATTCCCTCATTGTCATAGTGCGATGGGACGATAAAATGACACAAATATAGAGAGATCACACTCAGAACCAAAGGTTTATACGTTCCTTCTGAAGCACAGGGGTAAAATACTCCGGGTTACTACTGGGACTATCTTGATATAAAACCCATCTGATTTTGGGTACGATCACAGCTATTACTCAAAGGCTAAATAACTCTTCTTGGTTGAGCTTACTTTTATTTTTTAATTGTATGCAGGTAGAGGCCTCCCGTCCTCCATGGTGGCATTACACCGGAGGCGTGGAGCAGAAGTGCGGTGGTCTTGTTCTTCAAGAAAGGTGACAACGCTCTCTTGAAGAACTACAGACCGATTTCCCTTCTGAGCCGCGTCTACGTGCTGTATTAGAGAGTCATTACGAATCGTCAAAGGTAGACTCCATTGACACCAATTTAAAAGTGCTCATAATGTGAAAATACGAAGTAGAAATGATTTGTTATTGTGTTCTTATGGTTTAAAATCGTTACAGGATCCTATGGAAATAAAGGTGATGTAAAATATCCAGTTTTGAGGTGAGTGCAGAAAATCGAAACAGAATGGAAAAATGAATTTAAAATAATGTAAAATGATAAGTAAGTAGCATAACACTACATTTTCGCGCGCAGAATTGACGACTTCCAGCTTCCCGAACAAACCGGTTTCAGGCAGGCTGCCACGGGTGCGCGGCTGTTCGACGTGGTTGGTACTGTGAGTGGCAGTGCTAAAAAGGCGGACGTACTGGCCGCCAAGATGAGGAAGGTCCCCAACCCTGAGGACTTCCGGATCTCCAGACCAATAAAAACCGACTCCGTGAACCCTGAGGAGGTGGTGGCGGCCGTTGCCAGAAGCGGAGAGTGTCCGCCGGACAAGGTGCGGGCTGGTGATATACGCACCGACGCCACCGGACTCGGCGCAGTCTGGGTTCTGTGCCCTGTAACGTCGGCGAAGAAGATCGCCGATAGCGGCAGATTGCTGGTAGGCTGGGTGGCTATAAGGACCAAGCTCTTACAGCCCCGGGCTTTGCAGTGCTTTCCGTGCCTAGAAAAAGGGCACGTCCGGGTGAAGTGCACCGCCGATGTTGACCGTAGTGACCTCTGTTATCGCTGCGGCGAGCCTGGACACAAGGCGGCCCTGTGCACCGCGGCGCTCAACTGCAGCCTTTGGTCTGCTGCGGGAAGGCCAGCAGAGCACAGAGTAGACAGAGGGGCCTGTGGGGCGCCTACCAGCAAGGCCAAAAAGAAAAAAGAAAAGAAGAGGAGCACTAAGCCTGCCGGGTTAACCTCGCTGCCCCTGCAGGCTAGCAGCTCCGCGGCCGACTTCCGGCCCAGGACCGTTGCCGAGGGAATGGAATGTCAGTAACGGCACAATTCCGTTTTCTCCAGGGCAACATCAACCACTGTGCCAGAGCTCAGGATCTCCTACTCGAGAGCATGGCAGAGTGTTCGATTCACGTGGCTGTGGTAGCCGAACCGTACTTCATTCCCGCCCGTGACAACTGGTTGGGATGCGCTCAAGGCTTGGTGGACATTATTGGCGAGACTCTGATCGACCCGTCTCGGGGCCGCGGCTGGGTTGCTGTCTCGGGCAGCATCGTTATTGTAGGGGCGTATTTCTCCCCCAACAAGAGTCTCGCCGACTTTGAGGGTTTCCTTGTCGAGTTGGGCGCCGTCGTAGGCCTCTATCACCCTCGTCCCGTTCTGGTGCTCAGGGATCTCAACGCCAAGTGATCGGCGTGGGGATCTCCGGTCACTGACCCTCGGGGCGAGATGCTAGAAGAGTGGACGGTGACGACTAGTCTGGTCATCCTGATTCGGGGTTCGGAATACACGTGCGTAAGGCAGCGGGGCGGGTCGATAGTGGACGTCTCGCTCGCTAGCCTCACTGTCACCAGCCGAGTCCGCGACTGCCGTGACGCCGCAGAGGTGGAGACGCTGTCGGACCATCGGTATATCCAGTTCGACGTCTCTGCCCAGACTGCGAGCGGCCGCCATCCAACAACCCCGATTAATGACAGGGACAGGGAACTACTCGAGGAAGCTGCCTTAGTCCAGTCCTGGATCTGGGAGTCGACGACGACGGCCTCGTCGACGTCGAAGCGGTAGCGCTATGGTTTCCGGGGCGAAGACGCAGATCTGCGATGCGTCCATGCCCCGTGTCCACCTACGGTCCGCAAGGCACCAGGTGTACTGGTGGACCGCCGAGATCGCGCAATTGCGCACAGCGTGCGTTGCGGCTCGTCGCCGGTACACCAGATACCGGAGGCGGCATCGACGGGATTTCGCCGAGGAGAACGCGCTGTATGAGTTGTACCGCGCGTCTAAGGAGATTCTGTGGCTGGCCATCGGCGACTCAAAGTCGCGTGCCTGGGAGAAGCTGCTCTCTAGCAGCTCCTCCCAGGCACGCTCAACATTGGACTCAAACAATCGCCCAGGAATATACCCCTTCTTATCCTTATGTGGCTCTCCGCAGCCGTCATCTGCTAGCCTAGATGACAAAGGATCGTACTCCACTGCCCCATACACTGCCCGAGGAAGTGTCGAACTGTACAGTCAGGACCCTCTTAAGCTATGTATGAGGCACCGAGTCGTATGCCTTTTTGTAGTCTATCCAGGCGGCGGAGAGGTTCCGACGGTTGCGTTTAACCATCTTGCCAATGACCGCGTCAATGAGGAGTGGTTCCTTGGTTGCACGACCACCGCCCAGACATCCATTTTGAGCGCGCGACATCACCTGATTTAAGTTCAGGTGACGAGTGATTCTCGCGCTCTCTTCTAGGAAGGGATCTAGGAAGGGACTCTTCCCTAGATCGGGGTCCGTGGGGGCGCCCCTACCATCCGGTACGGGGCGTCCCTGGGCGCCTCCACTAACACAATCGATGCAACCCCAGTTGCTAGAGGCGGTGGTATCGGCTCTCTTCCCTGAGCAAGTGGGACACGTTCCCCCGGCGATGGCTTCGCCCTTAGCCACAGAGTCTCCCAAAAAGGAGAGCACCGATGTCCCCGAGGTGGCGCAAGCAAAGACGAGAGCGGCCGTGTCGCGACTCCGGGCTAAGAACACAGCGCCCGGACCCGACGGAGTTCCTGGTCGAGCTCTCGTCCTGGCTCTGAAGGAGCTAGAGCCCCAGCTGAAGGGGCTCTTCGCGGCATGTCTCGAGCAGGGTCAGTTTCCCTATCTGTGGAAGGAGGGGAAGCTGGTCCTGCTCAGAAGGGGCGCCCCGCGGTCTCACCGTCCGCGTACCAGCCCATAGTGCTGCTCGACGAGGCGGGCAAACTTCTTGAGCGTAACATCGCAGATCGCCTCGTCAGCCACTTGTGCAGAGAGGGGCCGAACCTGGACGAGAACCAGTTTGGCTTTCGTCGCGGGTGCTCCACTATAGACGCTAATACGCGCGTGAGGGCCCTGGCGGAGGAGACAGTATCCCGGGGTGGGGTGGTGCTGGCGGTGTCTTTAGACATCTCCAACGCTTTCAACACTACCCTGGAGTTGTATTCGGGAGGCGCTGAGTTACCATCGCGTGCCACCTTACCTCCGCCGCACAATAGGGGCTTACCTTGAGGAGAGATGCGTCACGTATTGGGGACGTGACGGCGCTGGTCGGCGCGTCATATTGTGCGGTGTTCCGCAGGGATCGGTCTTGGGACCGCTCCTGTGGAATATCGGCTACGACTGTGTGTTGAGAGGTGAACTCCCGTCGGGGGCCAACTTGACGTGTTATGCGGACGACACGATCGTCATTGCCCGGAGGAGCTCGCACAGGGAAGCAGCGTTGGTTGCCACGGCTGCGGTGTCACAAGTGGTAAACCACACCCGGCGCCTGGGCCTGGAGGTGGCCCTAAACAAGTCGGAGGCCATGGCGTTCCATGGCCCTCGACGCGCGCCGCCGCCGGGATCACACATCGTGGTCAGCGGGGTCCGGATAGCTGTCGAGTCCACCATGAAGTATCTGGGATTGGTGCTCGACAGCCGATGGGAATTCGGACCCCACTTCCGGCGGCTGGCACCAAAGCAGATGGGTGCAGCGGGCGCGCTTTCAACGTTGATTCCCAACTTGGGGGGCCTGAGCGCCGCCTGTAGGCAGTTGTACGTGGGAAACGTACGGTCTATGGCCCTGTATGGGGCCCCTGTGTGAGCAAACCTGCGCAAACCGCAGAAGGCGATGGCCGTCAGAATCGTCCGCGGGTATCGCACGATTTCCTACTAGGCGGCTTGCGTCCTGGCCGGATCCTCGCCCTGGGACCTAGAGGTGAAAGTTCTCGCGTCATTATATCGATGGCGCAAGGAAGAGCGGGCACGGGGCTCGAGGCTGGTGCAGCGGCAGATCGCGCTGCGCCGAGAGGAGCTCCGTCAGGTCTTGGTGGCGGAATGGCAGCAAAGGCTTCTGCGCCCTACCGCCGGCCTCGCTACCATCGGCGATCCGGCCAGTACTCGACGACTGGCTCGGGAGAAGGCACGGCTCCCTGTCGCTTAGGGTGACGCAGGTGCTGTCAGGGAACGACTGCTTCGGCAAGTACCTGTGCCGCATAGACAGGGAGCCGGACGCTCGGTGCCAAAACTGCGTCCATTGCGGGGAGAACACGGTGCAACACACGCTCACCGAGTGTGTAGCTTGGGAGGAGCAGCGCCGTGTCGTCACAAATGAAGTAGGAGGCGATCTGTCACTGCCGGCCTTAGTGCGGATGATGGTCGGTAGCGCAGAGTCGTGGGACGCGGTGGTGTCCTTCTGCAAGGACGTGATATCGCAGAAGGAAACTGCGGAACGGGAGAGGGAGATCTCGACTCCCTTCCCTGGCCGCAGAAGGCGCAACAGGCGCAGGAGAAGGGCGGACAACGCCCTTTTCCGGCCCCCATGAATAGGTCCAGGGGCGAGGGACTTAGGGAAGCCCCCGCCAGCCCTATTTGATGGACCCGAGGCGGAGGCGCGCGAGGGTGTCGGCGCGCGCCCCTGATGCGATACACGGGGTAGTTGAACTCACTACCCCGTGCAGGAAACGAGGCCCGGACAGACCAGGCCAGCACTAGTGTGGGACTGTGGAAGAATTTGGATTCCCGCGGCCCCGCGCGCATGTGCGAGGAAACACCGGGGTGGTTTTAGCCGCTAACAGTCCGGCACGCCTTTCCCCAGGCGGAGGTAGTCCATGAAGATTTCCCCCCGAAAAAAAAAAGGTAAGTCCAACTTCGACCGAGAGGTCTATCGACGGATTCAACTCGGCTAGGCAGCGTTCGGGAAACTACGACACATCTTCTCGTCAGACATACCTCAAAACCTTAAAACGAAATTGTACAACCAGTGCGTGTTGCCAGTGATGACTTACGGATCTGAGACGTGGTCCTTCACTGCAGGCTGTATGAGGAAACTCAAGGTCGCTCAGCGAGCTATGGAGAGGGCTATGCTTGAGGTTTCTCTGCGTGATAAACTTATAAATGAGTATATCCGCAGTAGAACCAGAGTAACCGACATAGCCCAACGGATTAGTAAGCTGAAGTGGCAGTGGGCCGGCCATGTAGCTCGAAGAACCGACAACCGATGGGGAAGAAAGGTTCTTGAGTGGCAGCCTCGCCTACCGGTAGGCGAAGTGTAGGGCGACCCTCCACGAGATGGAGTGACGACCTGGTAAGACATGCAGGAACACAACAAAACAACATGGATGCAGGTGGTTCAGAACCGTGCTTTGTGGCATTCCTTGGGGGAGGCCTATGTTCAGCAGTGGACTTATGAAAGGCTGTAATGATAATGATGATGAGAGGCATAACATAAATTCTTAAGTATTTTTCTACATTTAGTTGTAAAAGATAGGGTGACAAACGAGCACACAGTCCACTTGATGGTAAGTGGTTGTTGTAGCCCATAAACATCTACATCTACCCTCGTTTGCGAATCAAAATGTAGATTCGTTGTCACCCGTGAGGACTAAGATGGAACGCCTCTTTTACAGTATAATGGTCTCCGGTCCTCTACACTCACCATACGAAACACAGCAGTGTTAAACTACTATTTTAGGCTGGTATTCTGTGAGAGCGTGGTCCTTCCCCGGTCGAGCCAACCCACTCTTGCTACTACTATACTACTAATATAGCTGCAGCATGGCTCTACTAGGTATAGTATATATCTGCCATGTATAGTGTATAGTTTACATTTAAATAATTTTTCTAACATTAAAGGCAATAAGGTGCCTTGTAGAACGAATAATTGGTGGTTGAGCTTGCTTATTTAGGGCAAGCTCTTATCTGTGGTATGGTAACCAATTGGTATATTATTAGTACCAATAATATTATTATTAGTACATTCGTATCGTCTGAGTAAATCGATGAGCTGCTCATTTCCCAATTCACCAACAAAACGCGTGCACTGTGCAAACGTCTATTTGTTTATGACGAGCTACGCGGTACGCGTTAAATCTAGGAACGCACTGGTCGTACGAACGTCTCCTCCACCTTCTCACGCTGATCTAGACATCGCAGATCGATGATGCATCAGATGCGTGTGATTGCATACGATAAGTTTGTTTGTAATGCATAGTTTTTCATACAAAATCAAGAGTCCATACGTCATAATGCGTTACATACGTTGCGTGCGTGGGAACAGTCTGTCTCTTTACACCTATATTCACGAACTTTGCGTACTGGTCGCATATAGTATGTAATAAATGCGATCGATAGTCCAAGGTCCAAACAGTACAGTGCCACACTAACACCCAAGCCACCCAAGCCGCACCTTATTTTACTGTTATATTAAAAATACGTTATATTAGATGTAGGATGTATTGAACACGAATAACCATATACACAGTTTGAAGTAAATGTGAGCCAATTGAACGCATCACACTTACTTAGGATTAATTGTAGATAATAGATTTAGCTGGAGATTTCACACAGATTCTGTCTGTGACAAATTACGAGCTATATTGGCTAAATTCTACATTTTAAAACCTAAAGTACCATATAATATCCTACTCTATATGTATAAAGCCTTAGCTGAGTCAATTATATCATACGGAATCTCAAGTTATGGACGAAACTTTAAGTCATATACCGAAAAAATATATAAACTACAACTAAGATTACTTAAACTTATTGTACCTCAAAAAATAAAACAACAATATAAAGATAACTTATTAGACATTTTCAAATACTGCAATATATTACCCATGCAGATGAAATTTCACATGACCCTCTTAATTGAACAATTCAATAATAAAATTATCCAAGTGCCCATATCCCATAAAGTAATTACAAGAAATATTACCAAACAAAAAATAAATGTGCCTAGAATCTCAAATTACTATGGTAGGCGAACAATAGAATTTTTAATTCCAACTCTTTTAAATAACATCACGAAAAACATCCAAAAAGAATTAAACACAAAAAACTATAAAGAAAAACTCAAAAAATACTATTACGATAATATAAAGAACTTTGTCTTATAAAATGAATCATAATTATAGTTATTATTTAGTTACTTATTAGTGAAACAACCTGTATATAATTAGTAGTATGCACTATCTAGTCTAGTGGAACAGGTTCCACAACAAAAGCAATGAGCGCTCAAGTCGGTGGCGCTCAATTCCAGAACGTCCCAAGTAAAAATTGCAAATGGGTGCTTACCACTTACACAATAAAGGAGGTATATTTTAATGAATATTTTTGATTACTGTTAAGATTAACTAATTATTTAATGTTAAGCAGTGCGGTAGTTGCGAATGTGAGTACTAATACAAACCATTTTTGGTTTTATGGTACAAATAAAAAAATATGTATGAACACTTTGATAAATAAATAAAAAAAATACCTAGAACCAAGCTGCAGTTATATTATGATTGTAGCACGAATGTATTGGCTCAACTGGGGCCTTCCCCAGACCACGTTTGTGTAGAATACAAGCGTGAAGTAGCAGTTTAATAATGCTGTATTTCGTATGGTGAATGTAGAAAAACCGAGACCCTTTTTACAGGAAACGAGTTATTCCATCTTAGTCATTAGAGATGAAAACACATCTGCATTTTGATTCTTATTGGAAGATCGATGTCCCCAGCGTTCACTTATAATCAGGTGCACTGTGTGATCGTTTGTCACCCTTATTCTATAAAAAACAAGTTATAACTTCTTTTATAGAATAAGGAATAGAATAGAATAGAATAAAATAATTTTTATTCAATATACATTACATGTGTAATTTTTATTGAAAGTCATTTTTTATTTTACTTTACCACTGGTTCGAAAAAAAAAACCCTCTGTCCTGGGAAGAATTAGCAAGAAACCCAGCGGGACTTATTTAAAAATAAACCTTACCATATAAATGATTACGAACTATTTACAAAATTTATTTTAGAAACCGCTTGGAAGCAACCACCTTATTCCCAGGGGAATCAACCATGTATTCATTTATACTATAATAACCCTTTTTATACAATTTCAGCTTAATAAAAAATTTAAACTTGGTAATAGAGAGAACCTGTACACTTTCCGGGACCTTGTTTTAATAGCGTATTCATTGCCCCAAGAATGAATAATTGACTCTGTGGAGTCGAGAAACTGGCATCACTAGCTTGTGTTTGTTC